TCCTATTTTCACACCTCCTTCTTCTGTGTTCAAACCTGTTTTTCATCAATCATACCTACCTCCAGTTAGCTAAGGCTCACTGCTCACACCCAGCATCAGCATCCAGCATTTTTTGCTGTCTCTGGAATTCCAGTATCCTGGTAGGATTCATTGCTAACCACTGCCCTGTCTTCTAACCAGAAAAAAAGAAGGGAGGGTAAGGTAGCTGGGCACCAGTATTTTAATTTCTCACAATGCTTTGTTGGAAATTGTGCCACACCCTCAGCTTAGCATTGTTGCTGTCTGCAGCCATCAAGATCCATCAAAGTACAAAGAGGACCATTACAGGATGCTTTGCTCAGCATCACTCACCTGCTCTAAAAAAAGCTATAGCCTGACTTGACCTGGATAGTCAACATCAAGGGCATGAACAACAAGGCAGAAAGAATGTATCAGCTGTTGGAGGTGCATCTGCTTACAGTCAGTCCCCATATTCATGGATTCAACATCCATTGGTTGAAAATATTCCAAAAAGAGAAAATTCCAAAAAGCAAAGCTTAGTTTTGCTCTTTTATACAAGGGACACTGTTTCACTGTATTGAATATGACTTCAGCATCCATGGATTTTGGTATTCAAAGGCAGGGTCCTGGAACCAAACCCCTGGTGATACCAAGGGCCCAATGTAACACAAAAAAGAGTAAGAGGCAGGGCTATGGCATTGGTAGGCCAATTCTGCGACTCCGACTCCTCTGTTTTTCTACTGCCAGACCCACAACTCATTCATAAATGGCAAATGTATACCATAAATAACAATTTTGCTGTAGCAAATGGTAGCTAAATACATATTTATTTATTTAGAGCATTTATGCACCCGCCCTTCAGCCAAAGTGCTTCTCAGAGCAGCTTGCAAAGTGTTAGTTTGACAGTTTCCTGTCCTCTGGTTTACAATCTAAAAAAAAAACAAGTATCTGGATCTGATAAGGATACTATAAAACTGAAGTTGGTTAAAGGCAATTTAATAAAATTATTGACAACAGGTGTTCATAAAAAGCATCAAACGTTTCAGCTTCTGCCTTTCTCAGTGATGGAGTAGGTGAGATAAGCAGTTTGGAAGCAATAGTTTTAATTAATCTTCTGCCATCCCACTTTTTCAGCTGCTTTAAAAATGTCCCAGTTTCTCTCTCCTCCTTCCACTTCCCTTCTTTGTCCTTATCTTATTTCCATTGTTGCAAACTGAGTTCAAAGTGAAAAAGTTGTTTGTACTCAGTTAACTCAGCAGTGGGGAGAGGACAGGAGGAGACAGAAAGCCTTTGCAGACTGCCAGAAATAGTGCACATTAAATTGAGG